GTTAGTTAGTTAGTTAGTTAGTTAGTTAGTTAGTTAGTTAGTTAGTTAGTTAGTTAGTTAGTTAGTTAGTTAGTTAGTTAGTTAGTTAGTTAGTTAGTTAGTTAGTTAGTTAGTTAGTTAGTAGTTAGTTAGTTAGTTAGTTAGTTAGTTAGTTAGTTAGTTAGTTAGTTAGTTAGTTAGTTAGTTAGTTAGTTAGTAGTTAGTTAGTTAGTTAGTTAGTTAGTTAGTTAGTTAGTTAGTTAGTTAGTTAGTTAGTTAGTTAGTTAGTTAGTTAGTTAGTTAGTTAGTTAGTTAGTTAGTTAGTTAGTTAGTTAGTTAGTTAGTTAGTTAGTTAGTTAGTTAGTTAGTTAGTTAGTAGTTAGTTAGTTAGTTAGTTAGTAGTTAGTTAGTTAGTTAGTTAGTTAGTTAGTTAGTAGTTAGTTAGTTAGTAGTTAGTTAGTAGTTAGTTAGTTAGTAGTTAGTTAGTTAGTTAGTTAGTTAGTTAGTTAGTAGTTAGTTAGTTAGTTAGTTAGTTAGTTTAGTAGTTAGTTAGTTAGTTAGTTAGTAGTTAGTTAGTTAGTTAGTTAGTAGTTAGTTAGTTAGTTAGTTAGTTAGTTAGTTAGTAGTAGTTAGTTAGTTAGTTAGTTAGTTATAATTATGATTCATATTCTTTGGTAATGCAAAGGTTTCCTTTCATACATCTATTGCATTCCCTTTTTATTTACTCTCACAAAATTCCACTGTAATTTTGAACATGCGCATTGCACACTGTTCATTGCAGTTATACAAATAATTACGTTTACTCTTTCTAATATATCCATTTCAACCTGTTGCTATTTTCATTTATCTCACTCCTACGAATAAAAACAAATTTCAATTTCTCTTCTAATTGTCATTTCCTCTTTAACCCATTGCTCACTCCCATTATAAACAAACGCAAACTGAGCTATTTGCGCAGACAGTCTGTCTCTTTCTATCTCTAGTTTCACTTCACTTAAGAGGCTCCCTTTCCGTTTTATGTTTTGTTAATCAGTTCTTAGTGTGATTTCTTAACAAAAGCTTCGTCCTCCGTTAGTGTTGTGATAAAAAATTAAATAAATAAAGAAAAAGTTTTTAAAAGTTAATAGAAATAAAGAGCTTAAAAAGTTTTATAAGAAAAAGTTAAATTTTGTTAAGAAATCGCGATATTCGTTAAGAAATTTGTTGTTAAAAGAAGTTGTTGCGAAAAATGGTGCTGCCGGCAGCGCAGTCGTAAGGAAAAAATTCGTGTGTATCTATTGTTCTCAAAGTTTGGTAAATTCTCTCTGTTGCCGGTTTTTTAGGAAAAAGTGTTTTGTTAAAGGAGAAATTGTGAAAAGGGGGGGAGGTGGTGTAATGGGAAGAAAATAGTTTTATTAAATGTATGCAAAAAAGAGAGCAGGTGTTAAAATAAAGAGAAAATAAGTGATGTGTAAAGTAAATGTTCCAATATGGCCTGTTGTTGTATGAAATAAAGCAAAAGTTTTGTGAAAGTGTTGGTGTGTAAAAGTGTTTTTGGTTAAAGTTTTAAAGGAAATGAAAATAAGTTGTTAAAAAAGCCCAAAACAAGAGGTTTAATTAATTGTAGATTGTTAAAAAAAAACACTTTGTTAAATTGTTTAAAGGAAGCCGTGGAATCCAGTTATTTGTACAAAGAGGTAAATTTTTTAAATAAAATTATTTAATTCATAAAATAATTCAAATTTATTTTGTATAAAAGGTCCTTTATTAAGAATTTTATTTTACAGATGATATTATTTTAAATTTCTTTTCTTTTTACGGAAAATTTTGTATGGAAATGATTTTTCTAAGGCAATTTTAACAGTTCTAGTTCTGTTCTAGTTCTGTTCTAGTGTTCTAGTTCTGTTCTAGTTCTGTTCTAGTTCTGTCTAGTTCTGTTCTGTTCTAGTTCTGTTCTAGTTGTTCTGTTCTAGTTCTGTTCTAGTTCTGTTCTAGTTCTGTTCTAGTTCTGTTCTAGTTCTGTTCTAGTTCTGTTCTAGTTCTGTTCTAGTTCTGTTCTAGTTCTGTTCTAGTTCTGTTCTAGTTCTGTTCTAGTTCTGTTCTAGTTCTGTTCTAGTTCTGTTCTAGTTCTGTTCTAGTTCTGTTCTAGTTCTGTTCTAGTTTGTTCTAGTTCTGTTCTAGTTCTGTTCTAGTTCTGTTCTAGTTCTGTTCTAGTTCTGTTCTAGTTCTGTCTAGTTCTGTTTAGTTCTGTTTAGTTCTGTTCTAGTTCTGTTCTAGTTCTGTTCTAGTTCTGTTCTAGTTCTGTTCTATTCTAGTTCTGTTCTAGTTCTGTTCTAGTTCTGTTCTAGTTCTGTTCTAGTTCTGTTCTAGTTCTGTTCTAGTTCTGTTCTAGTTATGTTCTAGTTCTGTTCTAGTTCTGTTCTAGTTCTGTTCTAGTTCTGTTCTAGTTCTGTTCTAGTTCTTTCTAGTTCTGTTCTAGTTCTGTTCTAGTTCTGTTCTAGTTCTGTTCTAGTTCTGTTCTAGTTCTGTTCTAGTTCTGTTCTAGTTCTGTTCTAGTTCTGTTCTAGTTCTGTTCTAGTTCTGTTCTAGTTCTGTTCTAGTTCTGTTCTAGTTCTGTTCTAGTTCTGTTCTAGTTCTGTTCTAGTTCTGTTCTAGTTCTGTTCTAGTGTTCTAGTTGTGTTCTAGTTCTGTTCTAGTTCTGTTCTAGTTCTGTTCTAGTCTGTCTAGTTCTGTTTAGTTCTGTTTAGTTCTGTTCTAGTTCTGTTCTAGTTCTGTTCTAGTTCTGTTCTAGTTCTGTTCTAGTTCTGTTCGTTCTGTTCTAGTTCTGTTCTAGTTCTGTTATAGTTCTGGTTCTAGTTGTTCTGTTCTGTTCTAGTTCTGTTCTAGTTCTGTTCTAGTTCTGTTCTAGGTTCTGTTCTAGGTTCTGTTCTAGTTCTGTTCTAGTTCTGTTCTAGTTTCTGTTCTAGTTCTGTTCTAGTTCTGGTTCTAGTTCTGTTCTAGTTCTGTTCTAGTGTCTGTTCTAGTTCTGTTCTAGTTCTGTTCTAGTTCTGTTCTAGTTCTGTTCTAGTTCTGTTCTAGTTCTGTTCTAGTTCTGTTCTAGTTCTGTTCTAGTTCTGTTCTAGTTCTGTTCTAGTTCTGGTTCTAGTTCTGTTCTAGTTCTGTTCTAGTTCTGTTCTAGTTCTGTTCTAAGTTCTGTTCTAGTTCTGTTCTAGTTTCTGTTCTAGTTCTTTCTAGTTCTGGTAGTTCTAGTTCTCGTTCTAGTTCTGTTCAGTTCTGGTCTAGTCTGTTCTAGTTCTGTTCTAGTTCTGTCTAGTTCTGTTCTAGTTCTGTTTCTAGTTCTGTTCTAGTTCTGTTCTAGTTCTGTTCTAGTTCTGTTCTAGTTTCTGTTCTAGTTTCTGTTTAGTTCTGTTAGTTCTGTTCTAGTTCTGTTTAGTTCTGTTCTAGTTTGTCTAGTTCTAATTCTGTTCTAGTTCTGTTCTAGTTCTGTTCTAGTTCTGTTCTAGTTTCTGTTCTAGTTCTGTTTTAGTTCTGTTCTAGTTTGTCTAGTTCTAATTCTGTTCTAGTTCTGTTCTAGTTCTGTTCTAGTTCTGTTCTAGTTCTGTTCTAGTTCTGTTCTAGTTTCTGTTTTTTAGTTCTGTTCTAGTTTGTCTAGTTCTAATTCTGGTTCTAGTTCTGTTCTAGTTCTGTTCTAGTTCTGTTCTAGTTCTGTTCTAGTTCAGTTCTAGTTCTGTTCTAGTTCTGTTCTTGTTCTAGTTCTGTTCTAGTTCTGTTCTAGTTCTGTTCTAGTTCTGTTCTAGTTCTGTTCTAGTTCTGTTCTAATTCTCTTCTAGTTCTGTTCTAGTTCTGTTCTAGTTCTGTTCTAGTTTCCTGTTCTAGTTCTGTTCTAGTTCTGTTTCTAGTTCTGTTCTAGTCTAGTCTGTTCTAGTTCTGTTCTAGTTCTGTTCTAGTTCTGTTCTAGTTCTGTTCTAGTCACATTCTAGTTCGGTTTTTTTTCTGTTGTAGTTCTGTTCTAGTTCTGTTCTAATTCTTTTCCAGTTCTTTTATAGTTCTGGTTTTCTTCTAGGTCAGTTCAAGTTCTCTTCTGGTTCTTTTCTATTTCGGTTCTTGTTCTTTTCTAGTTCATTTCTCGTTTAGTGCTATATATTAATTTAATTTAAAAACTTTAACATTTGTTTAAAAAAATGCATGGATAGAAAATATAAAAAGAGAAATATTCCACATTGGCAGCACTATGCATTTGCTATTGTGATTTGTTGTTTAATTTGTAAGAAAGTTGCCAGTTAGTTAAATATTGCTGCTATATTGACATTTATTAGTGAATATTGACATATAGAGGGCACTACTGTGGCGATAAAAGCCATTATGTTTAAATTAACTTTTCATAGTGATTTCTAACAGTTTTCTTGTTTCTGGAAGTTTTTAGAGTTTTAGTTAAAATAATATATCAGTTTGTTGTTATTTTTAGGGTATTTGTTTAACTTCACCTTTATTTAAGCATTTTTTTCACAAAATTTTGTTCATAACATCCAACTCTTAAAACATTTATTTATATATAAAATGAACACTACAAAATGTTTTTTTAATGAATTTTTTAAATATGTTTTTATATATAATAAATAAATATTTTTTTAAATTTATTATAAGTTTAAATATGTTTTGTAATAAAAATTATCACTTTTGATAAATTATTGTTACAGGTTGTGAGAGTAGTGAGTGAAAAAAATTAAGAATTTAAAGAATTTTGTAGGAAATTTTTGAAAGAAATGGGAAATTAAAATTCAACTAAAAAAGTGTTGATACTAACTACTCTTTCTTGTCTTTAACTCAAAATTCATGGAATTTTTTCTCTTCAACATCTTTTTTCTCAATTTCTTATCTTAATTTTGTTGTTAATTATTGAAAACCCCTTTAAATATGTTTTTTTGTTTTTTTTAATGGTTTTTTTTATTGTTTTAAATAGTTTTTTATTTTATTTGTTGTTTGTTTGTTTTTAAATTAAATTAAAATTAATTAAGCTTTAATTTGTTAAGTAAATGTGTGTGTTGTTTTTTTTTTCAAATGTTGTTTGCTTCTCTTAAATATGGTTGTTGTTGTTAAATCCTCTCATTACATTCAAAATATATGATTCTTAATTAGAAAAGAAAATTTAAAATAAATTTTCTTTTTTTTTCTTAATTAAAATTTAACATTTCTTTGCAATAATGTAATTTTTTATGATACTTTTTGTTTGTTGTTGTTGTTGTAAGGTTGTTGTTTAGAAATAGTTTTTGGTTTTTGTTGTTATTGTTGTTGTTGCTGTTAATTAAACTACACGAATTCCAAATTTACTTCTTAACCATCTTCATGAGCAAGTCTGTGGACAAGGATTTGGGACGTTCAATGGGTAGACCCAAAGCACGATCCCAGATGAGGGAAGCCAAGACACCGAGGGCACGGGAAACACCGAACAATACGGTATAGTAGTTCATTTCCTTCATGCCGTAGTATTGCAACAAAACACCGGAGTGAGCATCTACATTGGGCCAGGGGTTCTTAACCTTGCCGGTTTCAGTTAGGATTGGTGGCACGACCTTGTAGATCTTGGATACCAATTGGAAGAGTTCATCGTCGGGCAAGTGCTTGAGGGCGAACTCACGTTGGCAGGTGTAGCGAGGATCGGTCTTACGGAGTACAGCATGACCATAGCCGGGCACAACTTGGCCAGACTTAAGGGTCTTCCAGATGTAGTCCTTGAGTTGGTCTTCGGAGGGGTTGTTGCCAGCTTCCTTTTGCAATTTGCGCAACCACACCAAGACTTCTTGGTTGGCCAAGCCGTGCAAGGGACCGGCCAAACCGTTCATACCGGCAGCGAAGGAGAGGTAGGGATCGCTCAAGGCGGAACCAACCAAGTGCACGGTGTGGGCGGATACATTGCCACCTTCGTGATCACTGTGGATGGTCAAGTAGAGACGCATCAATTCGGTGAATTGGGGATTGTCATAGCCCAACATCTTGACGAAATTGGCGGACCAATCCAAATTGGGATCGATGGATTTGGAGCCCTTGCCGTTGCGGTATGTGTTGCAGTAAATGGTGGCAGCTACTACGGGCAATTTGGCAATCAAGTCCATGCTGTCCTCGTACACGTATTCCCAGTACTTGGTCTTGTGGACACCCTAAAAACGAAAGAGAAATTATCGATTTTTTTAACAATTCCAACATATTCCAAATATATCACTTACCTCTGAGTAAGCCTTGGCGAATTTACTGTCATGATTCAAGGCAGTGATGGCAGCCGAGAATTGCGACATGGGATGCAAGGTGGTGGGGAAATTGTTCAACATGGTGACAACGTGTTGTGGCAAAGCAGCACGTTCAGCCCATTCCTTGGACAATTGTTTGACTTGAGCCTTGGTGGGCACATCACCGGTCATCAACAACCAGAAGAGACCCTCGGGCAAGGGTTCAGCACCACCATCGGCGGCGGGCAATACCTTTTGGCATTCGGGAATGGAAAGACCACGGAAACGAATACCCTCATCGGCATCCAAGACAGAGGTTTCTGTGACCAAAGCTTTAATACCGCGCATACCACCGTACATCTAGTTAAAGAAAAATAGGAAAAACGTATAAAATTAGTAAAACTTTTAAAGAAATTTACAAAAATCCAAGAGAAAAGCTCATTTCCTTAAGAAACTAAGGCGGGCCTTTCTTGCTAGTCACTAAAATAACAAAATTTTGAGGTGGACCATGGAATATTTTTCAAAATATAAAGGATTTTTAACAAAATCTCGATTACTTAGGAAACTAAAGTCTAATGAAACAGTTAAAATTAGAGGTGCGCGATGACCTTTTCTTCTCAAATATAAAGATTTTAGAACAAAGATTTTTAAATTCTCAAGAAACAATTTAAAACCTAATACAAAAGTTAAATTTTCAGGCGGGCCAAAGTTTCATATAGGAAATATAAATATTTTTATTTCAAGACTCAAAAAATCTTGTCAAAGAGTTTATAATGAAAAAATCAATAATATTTCAGGCGGGCCAAAGGTTTCCTTGTAAGTTATATAGACTACACCATAGACTAGACTGTAGACTAGACTATAGACTAGACTATTGTCTGGTCTAGTCTATAGTCTACCCTACAGTCTAGTCTATAGTCTAGTCTATAGTCTAGTCTATAGTCTAGTCTATAGTCTAGTCTATAGTCTAGTCTATAGTCTAGTCTATAGTCTAGTCTATAGTCTAGTCTATAGTCTAGTCTATAGTCTAGTCTATAGTCTAGTCTATAGTCTAGTCTATAGTCTAATCTATAGTCTAGTCTATAGTCTAGTCTATAGTCTATTCTATAGTGTAGTCTATAGTATAGTCTATAGTCTAGCCTATAGTCTAGTCTATATTTTCTATAATCAATAGTCTTGTAGTCTAGTCTATAGTCTAGTCTATAGTCTAGTTTATAGTCTAGTCTAAAGTCTAGTCTATAGTCTAGTCTATAGTTTAGTCTATAGTCTAGTCTATAGTCTAGTTTATAGTCTAGTCTATAGTCTAGTCTATAGTCTAGTCTATAGTTTAGTCTATAGTCTAGTCTATAGTCTAGTCTATAGTCTAGTCTATAGTCTAGTCTATAGTCTAGTCTATAGTCTAGTCTATAGTCTAGTCTATAGTCTAGTCTATAGTCTAGTCTATAGTCTAGTCTATAGTCTAGTCTATAGTCTAGTCTATAGTCTAGTCTATAGTCTAGTCTATAGTCTAGTCTATAGTCTAGTCTATAGTCTAGTCTATAGTCTAGTCTATAGTCTAGTCTATAGTCTAGTCTATAGTCTAGTCTATAGTCTAGTCTATAGTCTAGTCTATAGTCTAGTCTATAGTCTAGTCTATAGTCTAGTCTATAGTCTAGTCTATAGTCTAGTCTATAGTCTAGTCTATAGTCTAGTCTATAGTCTAGTCTATAGTCTAGTCTATAGTCTAGTCTATAGTCTAGTCTATAGTCTAGTCTATAGTCTAACCTATAGTCTAGTCTATAATCTAGTCTATATTCTAGTCTATAGTCTAGTCTAATCTAGTCTATAGTCTAATTTATAGTCTAGTCTATAGTCTAGTCTATAGTCTAGTCTATAGTCTAGCATATATTATAGTCTATAGTCTAGTCTATAGTCTAGTCTATAGTCTAGTCTATAGTCTAGTCTATAGTCTAGTCTATAGTCTAGTCTATAGTCTAGTCTATAGTCTAGTCTATAGTCTAGTCTATAGTCTAGTCTATAGTCTAGTCTATAGTCTAGTCTATAGTCTAGTCTATAGTCTAGTCTATAGTCTAGTCTATAGTCTAGTCTATAGTCTAGTCTATAGTCTAGTCTATAGTCTAGTCTATAGTCTAGTCTATAGTCTAGTCTATAGTCTAGTCTATAGTCTAGTCTATAGTCTAGTCTATAGTCTAGTCTATAGTCTAGTCTATAGTCTAGCCTATCGTCTAGTCTATAGTCTAGTCTAGTCTATAGTCTAGTCTATAGTCTAGTCTATAGTCTAGTCTATAGTCTAGTCTATAGTCTAGTCTATAGTCTAGTCTATAGTCTAGTCTTAGTCTAGTCTATAGTCTAGTCTATAGTCTAGTCTATAGTCTAGTCTATAGTCTAGTCTATAGTCTAGTCTAGTCTATAGTCTAGTCTATAGTCTAGACTATAGTCTAGTCTATAGTCTAGTCTATAGTCTAGTCTATAGTCTAGTCTATAGTCTAGTCTATAATCTAGTCTAGTCTATAGTCTAGTCTGTAGTCTAGTCTATAGTCTAGTCTATAATCTAGTCTAGTCTATAGTCTAGTCTATAGTCTAATCTATAGTCTAGTCTATAGTCTAGACTATAGTCTAGTCTATAGTCTAGTCTATAGTCTAGCCTATAGTCTAGTCTATAGTCTAGTCTATAGTCTAGTCTATAGTCTGGTCTATAGTCTAGTCTATAGTCTAGTCTATAGTCTATTCTATAGTCTAGTCTATAGTCTAGTCTATAGTCTGGTCTATAGTCTAGTCTATAGTCTAGTCTCTAGTCTAGTCTAGTCTATAGTCTAGTCTATAGTCCAGTCTATAGTCTAGTCTATAGTCTAGTCTATAGTCTAGTCTATAGTCTAGTCTATAGTCTAGTCTATAGTCTAGTCTATAGTCTAGTCTGCAGTCTAGTCTATAGTCTAGTCTATAGTCTAGTCTAGTCTATAGTCTAGTCTATAGTCTGGTCTATAGTCTAGTCTATAGTCTAGTCTATAGTCTAGTCTGTAGTCTAGTCTATAGTCTAGTCTATAGTCTAGTCTAAAGTCTAGTCTATAGTCTAGTCTATAGTCTAGTCTATAGTCTTGTCTTTAGTATTGTCTATAGTCTAGTCTTCAGTCTTGTCTATTGTCTAGTCTTTAGTCTAGTCTATAGTTTAGTCTATAGTTTAGTCTATAGTTTAGTCTATAGTCTAGTCTAAAGTCTAGTTGATAGCCTTGTCTATTGATTAGTTTATAGTCTAGTCTTAAGTTTAGTCTAGTTTTGTTTTGTTTTCAAAAGTTTCTTAAAATTATTTCAAATGACCTGTTTCTTTTATGTCATTCTAATGACATAATCGAAAATCAATATGACATAAATTGTAGCGTTTTTTTTTTTTTTGTTTTCTGCCACAAAATTGCATGTTAAAAACAATTGCAATTTTCCTTAACAACAAATTGCAACAAATAAAAAGTAAATGTTGTATAATCGTTGAAAAAAAAAAAATAGAAAGAAAATTATTTAGAACATGAAAAACATTAAATGCATTTTAAAATTAGAAAGAACATTTTGTATGAAAAGGGGAGAGAGAGAGAGAGTTGTTGGGCAACTATAAAGATTTTCATTTTATTTTTAATAAAATGTTTTGTTTTCTTTAGTTTATTTTTTGTATAATTTGTTATTATTTAACATAGAAACTGATTATTTAATCAGTTTTGGCAAATGGCCATTAAAGAATTTCTTTGTATGTAGCGGCCATATGAAGGGGAGAGATAAAATTGTTAGAAAAATGCTCTTAGTGGGAGAAAAACTCAAGAATTGTTTAGGAAAATGGGGGATATAAGAAATTTTCTAATTTCTCTTTAATAATTAAGGAAAATGTTAAGAGTAAAAGTTGTTTTTTTAGTAAATTTACCGTTAATAAGACTTTGGGGTTTCTCTTTTATGTTACAAAAGAGTTTATAACGGTAAATTGAGATTAATAAAGAGAAAAGGACTTGAATTTTAGTATTCAAGAGAATTTTAAAAGAATGTTTAATGAAATAAAACTGTTACAAAATTTTTGTTACAATTTTCTTAAATTTCAAAAGGTCATTGAGCTTTTTCTTAAAATTTTTTTTAAAAATTTGCTTTATTTTACTTACCATATCAATAGTGGTTTCACCCATTTTAGTGGCACCATATTGTTTTCTGAAATTCTTGACACGCTCTTGTTCAGCGGGAATTTTTGAGGCGAGCACATCGCGCAAGCTGGAATCAGCTGAGATGAAACGTACATATTGAGCCAAGAAAGCGTTCAATTTCTGGAAAAAAAAAGAGAAAGAGAGAGAAAATTAAATTTAATCAACAATGCATTAATCATAAGAACTGTCACAGACAGTTTTTTATTATTATTATTACTATTCAACACTTAATAAATGATTAGGTAATGTTTTGTTTAGTTTTTTTTTTTTTATTTTTGATAAGAAATTAAATAATTTATTTCCTCCACCAGTTACGACTAGACTCTGGAAAAATATAATGGGGAACTATATATAATTTACTAGTCACGCTATGTCAATGTTAAATTGACATTGCAATTCATTATCATTTTCTATACGAAAAAAAAAAAACTCATACTATTCTTACGCTTTATGCCTTAAGAACGCAGAAGGAGGAGAAGAGAGAGAGCGCCACAATAAGAAAGGTCATTGAACTTTATTATGGTTCACTTTAATATAAACAATATTGTGTTACTTTCTCTATATAATTACAATTTAAACAAAATCTAAACATTAGTTGGCAATGCAGTTTTGAAATCTTTGTAAATCCGAGTAAATTTTTAGCAAAATTTGTTTAATTATATATTACAATATTATTGTAATATATATATTATTATATTATTGTAATAATTTTCCATAAATTGGCAACGCGATTTTAAAAATTTTAAGAAATTTTTAAAGAAAATGGTTTAGTTAAACTTTAATTTTTGTTATAAGACAATAATTTCTCCACAATTGTAATTTTTTGTAATTTTCGAGGAAATTTTTAGCAAAATTTTGTTAATTTATAAATTACAACTCAATTTTAAACTATAAAACACAAATTTCTTTAAATTTTGTGATAATATTGCATAAATTGGCAACGCGATTTAAAAAATTTTAAGAAATTTTTAAATAAAACAGTTTAATTATGCTTTAGAACTTAAGAAATTTGTTTGAAGACAATATTTTTTTTAATTTTTTGCATAATTTTCAATAAATTGGCAATTCAAACCAAAACTAAACATTAGTTGGCAAAGCAGTTTTCATTTCTGATACTTTTTGGGAAAATAATGGTTCATTCTGTATTAGAACTTAACGCTAAGCTAAAAGACAATATTTTTTTAAAATTTTGTAATAATTTTCCATAAATTGGCAACGCGATTTGAAAAATTAAAGAAATTTGTAAACAAAGTGTTTTAACTATGCTTTAGAACTTAACAAATTTATTATAAGATAATAATTTTATTAATTTTTTGCATCATTTTAAAAAAATTGGCAATTCAAACTAACATTAGTTGGCAATGAAGTTCTAAATTCTGATACTTTTTGGAGAAATAATGTTTCATTATGTATTAGAACGCAACGCTAAGCTAAAAGACAAGAATTTCTTAAAATTTTTTAATAATATTCCATAAATTGGCAACGCGATTCTAGTAATTTCAAGAAAATTTTAGCAAATCAAAACTGATTATTATTTATAATGCCTTAGAAATTAACTTTTGTTTATAAACCAAAGATTTCTTGTAATATTACAATAATTTTCCATAAATTGGCAACGCGATTTAAAAAATGTTAAGAATTTGTTAAAATTTGTTAAAATGTTAAGAATTTGTTACATTCTGCCTTACAACTTAATTTTTGACTATTAAACAAGAATTTATTAAAAATTTTTAAGAATTTTAAATAAATTGGCAACGCAATTTTGAATTTTTTTAAAAATTTTCCATAAATTGGCAACTCGATTTTCCACATTTTATGATTTAAAGTAATATTTTTTAGTTTTTCATTTATTTTGAACGCTCAGAATCCATTAAGGATAAATTTTCCCAAATAAAAATAGAAAAATTTTACATAGTTGGCTACACCTTTTAAAAAAACTTTAAATTTATGTAAAATTTTTTTCCTAAATTAAGTAATCTTTCAACTTAAATGTAATTCTCAAACAAAGTTTTCGTTTTAATTATATAGATTTTAACTAAAATTTTTATGAAAAAATTGGCAACTCGTAGTTTTTGTGTTTATGCTTTTAAACGGTGTAAAAATTATGTACAAATTGAGAAATTATTGTTTATTTGTGGTTTGAATAACTTATTTCTTAAAAGCTTTGCTATTGGCAACGCCATTTTACAATTTCTTCGTATTTTTGAAGAATTTTGTAAAAAAAACATAAATAAATCGAAGAAATCAATTAAAAATTTGTTTTTTATTAGTCTGCTAGGATTCTGCAGGTTTTTTTTAGAAAATTGGCAACTCCATTTTTCGATTTCTTAAATTTTAGCTTTAAACTTAAAGAGTTTAGTAAAAATTGGTTAATAATATAGAGATGTCTTTAATTAAAAGTATTTTATGTAAATTGTTATAAGTTTTAGAAGAAAAAAATTGGCAACTCCGATTTTTTTACATTCTTAAATTTTTAGCTTTAAACTTAAAGAGTTTAGAAAAAATTGTAAAATAAATTTGTTATTTATAGAGATGTCTTTAATTAAAAGTATTTTATGTAAAATTTTATAAGTTTTAGGAGAAAATTGGCAACTCCATTTTTTACATTTTTAAATTTTAAGCTTTAAACTTAAATAGTTTAGTAAAAATTGTTAAATAAATTTATTTTTTAAAGAGTTGTATTTTTGTAGATGTACATTATGTACATTTTTATACGTTTTAGGAGAAAATTGGCAACTCCATATATTAAAATTCCTAAATTTTAAGCTTTAAACTTAAAGAGGTTAGGAAAAATTGATAAATAAATTTGTTTTTTATAGAGTTGTCTTTGTTTAGATGTATTTTATGTACATTTTTATACGTTTTAAGAGAAAATTGGCAACTCGTTTTTTCAGTGTTTTAATTTTTAAGCTTTAAACTTAAAGAATTTAGTGAAATTTGATAAATAAATTATTTTATTACTGAAATGTCTTTAATTAGATGAATTTTATCTACAATTTGATAGGTTTTTAGAGAAAATTGGCAACCCAACTTTTTTTAATTCTTAAATTTTAAGCTTTAAACTTAAAGATTCTAGAGAAAAATGTTAAATACATTTGTTTTTTTGTAAAGTTGTCTTTAATTAAAATTATTTTTTGTAAAATTTTATAACTTTTTGGAGAAAATTGGCAACTCTATTTTTCAATTTCATAAATTTTATGCTTTAAACTTAAAAAATCTAGTGAAAAATGTTAAATGAACTAGTTTTTTACTAAAATGTCTTTAATTCGATGTATTTTATGTACGATTTTATTAGTTTTGCAAAAATTGGCAACTCCATTTTTTAAGTTTTTTAGAATTTACGCTTTTAAACTTAAAGAAATCGAAAAATATTGTTTTAAAATTAAGTTTTAATGGGTTTAGCTAAAATTTAAAGAATTTTAAGAAAATTTTGAAAAAAATTGGCAACTAGGATTTTGTATTTGTAACATTTTTTTTAAAAATTCCTTTTTTATATTAAACTTTAATTTATTTTAAATAAAATTAGGGTTTCCATTAAAAGATTTCCGAATTTTTAAACAATTGAAGAACGTTTCTATAAAAAATCTTATTTCTATTTAAAAATATTAATAGCTTCCGTTTTAATTGTTTCCGTAATTAAGCATAAATTTCCATTATTTTTATATAAATCTAAAAGTGCACACAAATCGATTAGTAGTCATAAATTAAACCTAGCAACAGAAAATGCAAAAAAGAAGTTAATTTGATCAAGCGTTAAGATCAAATGGTTTTCTTTACATTAATTAATTTATAAGCGCCACCACCAACACCGCCTCCATTAGTAGCTTAGTATTAAAAAAAGGCAGACATTTGGACGTCTCAAGTCATCCCCGCCCGCCCCCTTCAAACCACCTCTTTATATAGATAACTTGAGGTTTTGAGTAATTGTATAGTTTTTTTTTTTTCTTTATACCTCAATGAATAAAACCCCTATATCTGGCTGTGTTCGTTGTACTGATTTGCATATATCACACTTAGTGTGAAAAAAACCGCATAATATTTATTACATTTCCACTTAAACGTTACAACAAGTTGTAATTTAAAGCTTTGCCTTTTAAGATCTGCGTCATTTATATAGATTTTATAGTGATTGAAAGTTAAATTACGTTGTTTATATACATTTACTGGAAATGTTTATATATTTTTTTTTTTTTTTGTTAAGATTTATTACAGCAATCATATGTTATTAATATTTTTATATATATAAAAATGATGTATGTGGTGTTAAATATGAATAAAATATTCCTTTAATTTAATCTAAAACTATCAAAACCTATAAACTAAACAATGTCTGCTTTTTAAAGTGCATTTTAGTCTTGACTTATCTTATCTAAAAGTTTATAAGAAAACTTTGCTGCTTAAGCAATAAAGTTATGACAACTTAACACTCATTAAGTAAACATAAACAAAGTGTGGCCACACCGCCAGCAAGCAAAACCTTAAACACAGTTGTATTGAAAGTGTACTTTCTATAATTCAACTAACTAATTTCTTTAAATATCCTCCAAACTTCTAGAATTATCTTAATTTAAAGCTTTAAAACCCAAACTCTCTAGTCATTCCCCATATCTGTTCAAAATATTATAATCAGATAAATATATATTATGTGCCGCTATACACACTTTGGAAATTAATAAGATAAGAAAAAAAAATAGCAACAAAATTTACTTTATTTATAAAAATAAAATAAAAAAATAAAAACTTAAGGTATTATGTGTGTTTATTTAATTATCAACGTCATGTGATTTTATTTTTAAAATAAAATATAATGAAATTGTTAAAAAAAAATTTCGTTTCGAAATGATTAGCGCAAAAAAGTATGTTGTAAATTATTTAATGAAAATAAGGGGATTGGCAAATTTTTTTATTGAAAAAGTGTTTTTTTTAAACAAAATGCTTAATTTTGTAAATTTCTGAATCAAGTCTAGCAATGACAATAGTGGGACCTATAGGAAAGATTGGACTATATAGTCTAGTGTATAGTTAGGACAATAGTTAAGAATATAGTCTTGACTTTAATCTAGTTTATAGTCTGGACTATAGTCTTCTTTATAGTCTGGACTACTGTCTAGTATATAGTC